TCAATCCCTTCTCTTCCTTTGTTCTTCAAGAAGACCAAGACACAATAGCTCCCAATTTATTTATCGAATCTTACTACTCATTCGAGTACCAAACTCCAAATCACTTTCGCGTACGGTCATATGTAACTATTAAACACAAGCACTTTCAATTTGATTCGCCTATCTCTCGCTATTTCCTTGGGTACCAAACTCTAAAGGCTTTTCATTTGACCATAATCCTCTTTTGAAAGTCTTGAACAAAACCCCCAAATCTACCAAAGATACTGAAGGACAGACCCTATGTTTTTCGGGATGAAACCACCCATAACTCTCAACCCAATATTCTCGGTTACACAAAAATTTAATTGGACGTTATCAAACCTTGCCTAGATGACACCTGACAAAAGATGATTATGTGTGATTTATCAGTGTGTATGTATAGGTTAGAGGTTGAAGGTGAAGAGAAATAATGATATGTGTTTATAGTTTCATCAAGTTGGAATGAAGCATGTGTGATGTATTTATAGTTGGTGAACTTTGGTAGCAAAGAGGGAAAACTTCAGAATTGAAGAAATATGAAAATTTTGATCCACATAACAGTATGTGCCGACACGAAAATCGTATGTGCTGGCCTGAAAGATTCTATATGCCAGCACATAGAAAACAAAAGCTATAGGCTTTAAAAATAAAGTACATGTGCCAACTTGAAAATCATATGTGTTGACCTGGAAGATTTATGTGCCAGCACGAAGGTTTATGTGCCAGCACGAAAAGCTTATGTGTCGGTCTAAAAAGCGGATGTGCTGGCACATATAAGTGTGTTTTGTGCAGAAAATAATTTTTTATGATTTAGATCAATTTTAAACTTGTTTTGAATGCTTCCTAAGACCTCTAATACAATGATGCACCAAACAAAGCAGATATATCCTCCAATATACACAAATGCTAAGTTTTCCTAGTTTTGACATCATACAAAACATCTAATGGTGAAGTTGTACTCACAATAGTGTTAATACAACATACACATCATGAACTTACTAAACATTAATTATTCATACTTCCAATGGACAAACATTAATTATTCATACTTCGAATTGGCAGAAGTATTTGTGGTATGAATAATTAATGTCTAGTAAGTTCATGCAATGATACACATCTACATTCACTACTACAAATAACGCTTGTAATATCAGATGTGAAAATGATATAATCTCGGTAACACAAACAAGATAACGAAGGGGCGACATGAAAACTTGCCACTTTTCCTCTCGGTTATTCAAAAACTGAGGGGTAAAGGGACACTGGTCATGAGTTCGATCAATAACTACCATATTTTTTGGAATTTCAAAACTACGTTACTTTTTACCTTGAATTTTAACAATAACCAAGGGATAAAATCCTGTTTACAATTTTTTTAATCTATTTTTTCTCGTTTTAATCTACAAAGAATCAAATTTGTTGACGAATTCTAACTAATTTAGAATAATGACATCATTTTAACTAATTTACGATAATTCTTTTTTTTAAATTTTTCTTCGTTAATTAAGAAAAAAATTAACTATTAAAAAGTACCACATTAATTTAATATAATACATTTTAAAAAATTAGGAGATTAATATTCTTACTTTTTAAGGTTAGTAGAGTAAAATAAACTTCATCAAAGTTAATATATGGAATAAAAAGATATTAACTAAATTTTTTTAAAAGTAATTTTTATTTTGGTGAATACTATAACACCTTTTGAGTTTGTTTCAAAATATAAAGAATATATATACGACAGTGTAAAATAATTTTATACTGTTAATCAATCATAATTATGTTAAGTGTTAAATTATATTGTTATTTTTAAATAAATTAGATGATATAATTAAAAGATGAATTTTCATTAAATGATATTGTAAAACTATTTTACAAAGTAAGTGCACTATTTATTAATTTTTATTTAATATTATATTGTTTTTTATAATAAATTATTTTAAAAAAAATTAAAAATTAATATAAATTTTGACTGAAAACATCTATACCCAACTAAAATTAATATTCCTCTTTTATTTTTTAGAAATAAATTGAATCTCACCATTTACTCAAAAAAAATTAAAATTAGTTTTCCTTTAAATAATAATATCTTAAAATCATAAATATAAAGTTTACAATAAAATAAAAGGAAAAAGTTGGAGGCAAGTAAACCACGCAGCCATAAGATTGAGCAAATCTAAAGCAAAATTGCAAACTCAAAATGTTTCAAATTTTGTAGTAAATTGGGAACACCTTAGAACCCTAAAAAAACCTTTCTTTTTCTTCAATCCTTCAACATGAGTATTACTCAATTCGCCATGGTAAGTTTCTCAATCTCTTTCTTCCTATCACTCTTCAATTTCAATTTTCTGCTACCATACCACACCCAATTACATTATTTACTGTAAAGTTACAAGCTTTAGAACCCTCATTTAAGTTTTAGCATCAAATTTGCTCCTTTATTTCATGTTAATTGAAGGATTTTATTGAGGGAAAATTCTAGTGTGATGAAATTCTGTGTTGTGTTAACTTAATAGGATGTGTGATGATGATTATGAACTTGAAATTATGTGTTTTGAAATTCTAGGGCTTGTCATGCTATGTGCTTAACTTAGACTTTCAATTAGGTCTTAATCATAATTGTTTTCATTCCAGGTTGAGGAGTTGGCTTTTCTTGTGAAGGACAATCTTCCTTGCAAGCATCTTGTTCTTACATTGGAAGAACTCTTAGTTAACTATCTTCAGGATGAGGATACAAGGTAAACTTTATGAGATGTGTTTTGACTGGTGTTTATGGGTCATGAAGTTAATGGTTTAGTTAATTAAAGCATGGTTATTAGTATCTTAGGATACATGTGAGTTGTATCTCGATTCAATGCTAACTTAAATTGGATCTATACGAATATTTAGTGTGTATGTATTTGGACGTGAATCCAATCTTAAATTCCAATTCATTATGATGAATCCTGGTTCACTATGATGAATCTCAACTCATTCTAATGAATCCCTACCTAAACTTTGTAGCCTAGTACGTTTTTTTGTCAACTTTGTATAACCAACCACTTTTCATTGTCGTTTGATATATGACTTGAATTATTGAGGTTCATATATGATATATTAACCTATAATTTTGTTATGTTACTTGTTTTTCACTTAAAAATGATTTTTTTTTTAATTGGGAATGTATCTTAGAGTTCATAATAAAATTCAATTCACGATCTAGAAAAAAGTTCTTCTGATACACGATTTGAATTTCAAATTGATAGCCTTGAATGAATGCAGTACTTGTCTCTAACAATGTTATGGACAAATTCGAGCTCTTAATGGATCCTTACAATTTACTTTTTCTGCTTTTACTTGTTTCTTTCAATCTTTGTATTTTTATCTTTTAGGTTTCAAAAGACATGGAAGGGGTGGGGTGGTTTTAAACAATGCCATTATGTTTTTATCTAAGTTTCTCTATAATTAGCCGGACTTATAAATTCTTGTGTGTTGGATTTGTGCCTCATAAAAAAAGTAGTCAAGTTTAATATACTGAAAATTGTAAGTTATAACTGCAATCTTAAATGACTTTATATTCATTGCAATGCTTTTTGTAATATAGTTGTATAAGTCTTGTTACCAAACAAGGGTCTACTTAAAGATATACTGAAATGATAAAATATAACACTGCAATCTAATATTGTTCTAAATTCAATGCAATGATTTTTGTAATATAGTTGTATAAATCTTGTAATTAAACAAAAGGGTTCATTTATATATGCATGAAAAACTATGACCAAAATTTTTACGCAACAACTCGCTTATTGATTTTAAAACATCTCGGTATATCTTTTTCCACTTTCACCTGCTGTATAAATTTTCCCAAGTGTAAAGAATAGGCTTTTGAGAGTGGCTCTAAGTTTGGTTGGTTATTTGTAGCATATGATTTTGTTTGGTAACATCCATTTGTGGTAGTTTTGCACTTGCATGCCGTGTTAAAAAGTTGTTAAAGTTTCCTCGGTACCATATGAATTTCGTACATAGACACCAGACATGGCTAAACCTAGGAGTGTCAATGCTTCATATGGTACCCTTGGAGATGTTTCTTAATACCTGTTTTTATTGAACTATAGTTCAGACGGGATCTTGGAATTGGAACCGATGAACTCCTACAACCGTCTTCTCTTACACCGCCTTGCTGAGATATTTGGGTATTTTTCTTATGAATTTTACTGCTTACAAGCCCATTTCATTTTCTTCTGGTTTTATTTTATATCTGCATCTACTTTTTCTTTATTTGATTGATAGCTCTGAATAACTGGTGGCAGGTTTGCACATGAATCTGTTGGTGAAGGAGAAGATCGCCATTTGATTCTGGAGAGATGTCCAGATACATCCATGTAAAAACTACACTCTTATGCTCCCGGTTCCTTTTATATTGGATTACTATATTATTTTAAAAGTCTTTTTATTTTAGTGACTATTGTAAGTTTTCCTTTGCAAATAACATTTATATATGGGTCGCAGACCTCCAATCCTTGTTAGTGATATCCTGTGGCAGAATGATGAACCTCAGTCTTTGATGTCATCACACCAAATATTAAGAAGAAAAGAAGCCTCTCCTGGTATGACACAATACTAATTCTTCATTATAGTAAATACATCATGCGCAATACTGATCCTACCTGTTGGATTCACCATTATAAAAAACACACAACATGTAATACATCTAATGAATGAGATTTATAGTTTACTATTTTATTTAAAGTGTTGGAAACTGTTTGAATATTTTGTGTGCTAAAGTTAGTTTATTTAACAACTTAAATGTCTTGGCAAATCACTGATGTTTGATCCTGAATTGTGTTTATTTAGATGGTTGAAAGTTTCATAACTGTTGACTGTTCTGATTATGGGCCCATTAGTTTTAGATTTTTATAAAATCATTTTTGTTGTTCTAGTTATGTTTATGTGTGAACTATTCTCGAAAATTATTTTCTTGAAAAATGATTTTTATGTTGAAAATGAATAGCTAATTGTGATTAGCTTTTGTGAAAATCATTTTTAATAGAAAGGAGAGAAATAGAATTCTCATATAGAATTAAATAAAACCCTTCTACAAACTGCTTGTTTTTTTTTAATGAAGGGGATACTTTTGCACTTTTTTGTGGGCCTTAATTTATGCTGCATTTTCAGTACTACATACAAATACGACATCCGTTCAGCAGACACTGGAGGAAAGAAAAGCAGCTTATTTAGCTGCGCGTGAGCGGATTTTTTCTATGAGTTTGGAAGATGCAAAAGAGCCTGATGAACAAAAACCACGAAGCGTGCCTGTGGTTGCCCGTCGAATGATTGCACATGCATTAGGTCAGAGAATCAATACAAAGAATCCGAATGAGTTGGTTAGTGATAGTACGAAGGATAGAGTTCTCCCAGATGAATTAAATGCTCAAGATAAGTCGGATCATACCAAAAATTCTGAAGTGTCTTTATTGAGAAGAAACAGCATTACAAGAAACAGTAGCAGTTCTACTTCCAATGCAGCCTCACCGAATAAAAGGAACGGTCAAACACCAGTTAACAGAAATTTGCTGCAAGACGGGAAACAACGGCAAAGTGTGAGCAAAGAGCACATGAAAAAAGAGCACTTAGGAGCTGCGAAGAGAATGTTTGCTCATGCTTTGGGAGTACCCTCTGGGAAGGATGGTTCTGTTCCTAGAAGTGGAAATGGAGAAAAAAACAAGAATTAAAACAGAAGGTTGTAAGATCTTTTAAACCAGAACGGTAATCTATTGTTCCCAATGGACCTTTGCAGGTGCTTCCCGGGTTTCAATCACAATCAGCAAGATGAGTAATAAGCATGTGTTGCTAAAAAATTGTGATACATTAGTTTGAGATTCATGCAAATTTACTAGTCCTTCCCTGGTTGTGTTGGAGTAACTCGACTAGCAGCCGAGTCAAAAGGTATGAACAATCCTGAGTCGTGTTTTGACCAACCTGTTTTGGCGTTTGGATGAAGCCGAGGAAACAGGTTATGTTATGTTTATTAAAATGTTGAAATAAGACATTCAGTACCAGTTTCATTCTAGTATGTGTATTTTATTCATAGTGGATGCAAAAGTACATGACTTCCCTATCAAGGGATGTGTTATGTATATATAGATAAATTTGTCTGTAATTTCTTCTGCTTGTTTTTAGCTCCCTTTAGCAGCGACGACAGTTGCCGTGGCTGTTAGAAGTATATGCGTCGAATCTATTTTTGTCTCTTCTAATAATGATGACATTATGTTATGGCATATACGATTAGGACATCCAAATTTTTGGTATTTGAAGCATTTTCTAAAACCTGCAAATTTAATCAACGATATTGTTCATACTTTTCTACACAATCATATAAACAATCAAAACCATTAGCCTCAGCGCGATGCTACGCTATTAATTCCAGTTGATAGACTATAGGTGTTATTTTAACACTAATATTTTTATTTATAATTTTATCTAGTGTTATCACACATCTAAGACAATATTCTTTTCTTTGTTACACTTATTTTATTCTTGTGTATTTTTAACTGTTCAACATTCTTTTTCGTACAACATCACTTGTCTTATTGTAATATGATAAAATTTTCCATTATACTGAAGCGGTACCATTATGTCACATAAAATTCCTAAAACTCTCCTCCATCTCATCCATTCGGTTTGAATTCGATGGTTTACATTTCTTTCTATTTTCAATCATTTTGTATTACAGATCCAAGTTATTTAAACCGCGTGACTTGTGAGATGATATGGTTTCAAACTTTCATCTCTATGTTAGAAACACTTTTCTTTTTGTTGAACTTACATTCATATACTCCGTCTTACTCCTGTTTAGATGAAAAATGACGTGTTTCTAAATCTCGTCTCCAAATATCTATCCTCCCTCGACTATTTACAAGTTTGGATAACAAATAATTCATATTTTTAAACTAATTATCAATACACTATTTTAAAACTAATTATAATCTAGTAATATTAAGCAGAGTTGTTAATAGCGCCCGTAGCGGCCGCTATAGCGGCGCTCCGGAGCGGAGCGGAGGCCTGCCGCGCGCGCACAAGGGTGCGGTGGCGGAGAGAAGATAGCGGGCGCTATCGCCGCTATCCCGGGTCGCGGATAGCGGGCGCCTCCCGGGCGGAGCGGTTTGGCCTGGTTTTTTTTTTTTTTTTTTTTTGACAAAATTGCTGTTTTACCCCTCTTTTAAAATACTTTTTAAAACAGATTTGCATTATATTTTCTTTCCTTCGTTTCACTTTCTCACTTTCTTCTTCTGCCCTAATTTTTGTGCCCTTCTTCCACCGTTCTAGTTCCAGCAAGGCAGCCATACAACTGCAGTCCGCATCTTCTCTACCGTTCCAGGCTTCCAGCAAGGCAGCAACAGCACCATACACCGTTCCAGCAAGTACATCTTCTCCAATCTCCACCGTTCCATCTTCTTCTACTTTTGTCTCACATCTCCGCCGTTCGCAAGCCCTCTTTTATAGATTATTATAATATAATTATTAGTATATAAAAGGTTATCCCGCTATCCGGGATCCCGCTATTCCCACTTTTCCCATTCCCGGGGGTCGGCCGCTCCGCTCCGCTATCCGGGATTAATAACTCTGATATTAAGGCAAAAAAGAATAATTTTATTTATTTATCCATGACAATAAACATTATACAAGAACCGATATATGAAACACACACCGATATTTTTTCCCAAGTAGCATGACCAATAAGATTTACACTTACAACAGAACTCTGTTAACAAAGTTATCTATAATATAAAACATGCTGCAACATAAATCACATACACTCATTACATCCAAAGTTATATACATACACAGATCACATGGACTGTAATGTACTATTTTATAGCAACATAACTTCATTTATCTTGATTGAAAGTTGAGTGCCTTGATGCAGAAGGCAAATATAAAGGCAAAGAAACAAGGGAAAGCAATCAAAACTGCAGCAACTGGACCCATGAAATCAGATTTGAATCCATAATGGTCTTCAATGTATTCTTTGACAGTGAAATTTCCATTAGGAGATCCAAGCACGTTAATATGATCGTCTATGTCTCTATATTGAGATACAATTAATCCATACACTGTCCATGCCACTGGACAAATCCAATAGTACCATACCCACCACCCTGGAATTTTCTGAAATCACGAAATCGGTTCAAAATAATGTTAGTAAAATATCATAGGATTTGATAAAATAAGCAAACTAGATTGGTACTCACTGGTCTGGGGATGAAGAAACCGGAGAAGAGATTAAAGACTCCATAAAATGCTGCTGCGAAGATTGATGCAACTTGATGATTTGGTGTAATCGAAACAGTCATCATTCCGTAGTAGGTGAAGTACAAGAACGAGAAGAAGCTGACGAAGACGAACCAAAAGAACTTTTCGACTTTCCATTGAAAGCTCACCATAGCATACACTATGATGGAGTAATATAGGGTTTGAAATAGCACAAATGGTATTTCTATGAAAACCTGCAATTCAAAATGAAGTAGCATAGAAAATAAGATAACATTTACAAGGCAATTACAACTATAACAAGTAACTTGCACTAGAAGTTATTCTGACCTGTGATAAGGCATAAGGCAAAGCAGCATACATTCCGGCGGCTCTTTCTCTATAAAACACCGTTCTTTCAACGGCTACAATTGGTTGAACTGTTTGACAGTTGTTAATTCCGACAAAAATAACTGCAGCGTACATGGATCCTATAATCAGTGTCAGGTCGCTCGAATTCTCCCTAAACAAAGAAAATAAGAAAGAAATTAGCGAAAATTTAGAACTGATAATAGTGCTTGAAAAAAGTACTCGAGTTATATTTCAATTCAAATGAACACGTTTCTCACTTGTTTTTGCCAACTTTCCAAAATATTGTCCCAACCATGAGTGCACAAGCCAAGGTGAAAAAATATCTGACTAGATTGTAATCTGGACTTCTCCAATATGTCAACCACTGCTTCCAAAGACAAGATTTGAATTGTCCAACTGTTGATTGAGAGTACTTTGTAGGGAAAAACAAATCACTTGTTCCTGGTGGAGGTGTACTTAGTTCCTTTACAAGAGCTTTGCTTCTCCTGCTCGATACGAAAACATGTTAGCTAAATCAACTCAAGAACGGAGTTTGAATCTCTTTATGAATGGTTGTAAGATAGTTGTATGTTTACTTACTGAAACAAAGATGATGACTTATAATATTCGGCAAAGTCCATTCCAAGCCGGACTTCGGCTGCTATGGAGCTAACTTCAAGCATCCATGTTGCAGGGTTATACATGTCCTTGATTTTCGGGACACCTTGAATTGCCTGTAACAAAAGGGTTAAGCATGAAACTAGAACCACGTGTTAAACCGCACGATGAAAAAATGTAATCAATCAGTTGTGATACCTCGAAGTATTCGATAATCTTGTGTGAATTCCGACCTAAAGGTCCTCCATAGATCAGTTGCCCTCCTCTTTTCATCAATATGAGCTGGTAAAAAAGGAGATTGTTAGAACAACATTCTTAGTTCAAAAGAAAACCGATACGAAAAACGCAGACAAGTGAGAAGATGTTTAAGATTAAGTTGGTTTATATACCTCATCAAAAGCTTCAAAGATATCAATACTAGGCTGATGAATTGTGCAAACAACTGTTCTTCCAGTATCAACAGTGTTTCTTACAGTCCTCATAACAATAGCTGCTGCTCTTGCATCTAGACCTGAAGTTGGTTCATCCATGAATATAATCGAAGGATTAGCAACAAGCTCGACCGCGATTGTTAGCCGTTTTCTTTGTTCAGTTGACAACCCTGTAACTCCTGGTAGCCCCACAATAGCATCTTTAAGACTTTGCAGCTCAACCAAATCCATCACTTGCTCCACAAATTGCTGAAAATATCGATTAATTTAAAATGTTTTATTTCTAATTCTTCAGCTATGTATGCAAAACGCTCGATTCCACGTCGATGTAAAATTAAAAGATATAGGTTTGAACACTTACTATCTTTTCTTCATCACCAACTTCTTTAGGTAACCGAAGGAAAGCCGAGTAAAGCAAAGATTCTCTGATAGTAACTTGAGGTGAATGAATATCAGTTTGTTCACAGTAACCAGAAACTCGTGCAAAGGTTTCTTGATTCTTAGGGTATCCAGAGATTCTAACGTCGCCTTCGATGTAGCCACCAGTTTTTCTTCCAGCTAAAACATCCATTAAAGTTGTCTTTCCCGCGCCACTAACTCCCATTAGTGCAGTAAGAACTCCGGGCCTAAAAGAACCGGTTACTTCCCTAAGCAATTGTAACCTATCTTCTGTCACTCCTTGCTCTTTCATTTCCTGTCAAAAATCATATATTCGAAGTTAGAATCGCAATCATTAGTATCTCGTGAACCGTTGAATATGTAATACTTACTGCAGGCATGTCTACAAAGTAGTTAACACTGTCAAAGGACATTGCAAGTGGTTGAAAAGGTAGAATCATTCCTCTTCTTGGCGCATTTCCAGCGTCTCCCTCGGCATTTCTTAATCCATTTGGATTAGCTTGGCTACTCATTCTTTGCATCGCTACTTCTCCTAAAGTAATCCATGCACAGATCAAGCATGATTAGAGACTAGAATTCCGTTTTGATTAACTTATTTGAGCTTATCTACTGACGTAATCAGATATGATATAGCTTAGATAGAAGTAGTTCAACTTTATTTTATAAGCAATTATGCTATAAGT